GGTGGTTCCCACCCTGAAGGTCCCTAGGTTTTGCTTGCCAAATAAGTGCCTGGGATTGGAATAATTGGGGGTGGGTTGGGGAGAATAATTGAGATGGGTCAAAAAGTAGTAAGGAGGATGTAATAATTTATGGTATATTATATTTATTATATTATATTTTCTAACCTCAGTACAGGCTGAAAACATGATCCTTCTTTCATTTATTGAATTCAAAAATAATGTCTTTCCATCATAAAGCTGGAGACAGGCATGCATAAAATCATCTCTGATTCAAGACAAACCCTGGTAACTTCTTTAATAGATGCTAATGAAGGACTATGGAACACAGAGGGGAAGATCCTGTGTCTTATGGGACAGGAAGGTGGGGGTATAGTCAGAGAAAGAATCTTGGAGGTGAGAGCATTTGGACTGGGCTGTCACAGAAGTATAAAGTTTAGAAAAAGCTTAATATCCATCCTATAGTATAATAGATGTTGGCTGAGTCTAATGATCTCATTACAAAAGCAATAGAACCACGTTAGAAACTATTTAGAAAATAGAAGAAAGGAGAAATATCACTCACATTTCATACCAGCAACTCAAATTTTGTTGGTATTTTGCTACATTTCTTGCTAGCTTTCCCCCTGGGTATTACTTCTCCATAGCTATTGAGAGATCGTATGCTATCATATTATGCATACATTCTTGCATTGATTTCTAAAAATGAATCATTAATTGGAAACATTTTTCCATATGGTCACAAGAACAGGCAAATTGAAACTAGGTGAAGATGGGGAAGGACCATTCCTAAGGAAGGAGGGCATGAGGGCAAAGTTCTAGGAGTGGAACAGGGCTCATGGGCAGACCCCACTGTGGCTGTAGCTCAGGTTTTATGGAGGGTCTGGACGGGGCTGCTGAGGGCCGGGGTTTTATCTTGTGGGTGATGGAGAACCATTGCAGGTTGTGAGTGAGATGGCAACACGATTAGAATTTGATCCTCTTTGGGCCTGGCTTTGGAAATTCTGAGATTCCATGCTTGGGAATTTCAGACTTCCTTGTGGAGATGAGTAAGCCATCCATTCATACAGGACCAAATAGGACCAAATCATTAACTAGCATCTGAATGCAAATGCTAATGCAACGTAAGTACAGCTTTGTATTAGTTCCAATATCAAGGGCTGTCCATTATAGGACTTCCTTTCAGAAGCCTCACACATGCCATTTGATCTCAATGACCTATCAGAATCTAACCTGTGTTTCCACTGGCCAAGCCTGATCTTCTAGTTTGCGGATGGCAAATAAACTTCAGCAAACCCAGCACCTCCCGTGGCTGGCTGCAAATGTCCTAGGACCTGTGTCGAGAAGAACTCCGAGGGCATGTCCAGACTTAGCAGGGAAACGGCTATTGGTGTGGGGCCGAGAAGCCTCAGTAGGAATGCCACACACTGTCTTTGCCGTCCTTGCCCTCCCTCACCTGTTCATTCTAGATGTCATATTTAATGTTAATGTGGCCCACCTGGTATAGTAGAGCCAAACCAAATGGGGTCCAGAGAAAGGAGATGGAAGAAAACCCATACTAGTCAACATCTCCATAAAGTACAATACTAGATCCATCCACCTATTCTTCCTTCCACCCACCCACTCTTCTTTATTCTGCATCTACAGTGGGCTGGGCGATGCACCATGTTCTGGGGATACAGAAACCATTCTTGTCTCCGGAATTCAGAATCTAGGAGAACTACTGAAGAGGCAGGAAAGCATCAAACGGTGCTGCAGGCTGGGCCGGAGGTCTGAACACAGTGCCATGGCACAGAGGCAGAGCCTGCAGCCTCAGACTGCCACAGGAGCGGGGCTGGGGACAGAGGTGGGGTGCGGCTTGCTCAGCGAGCTGACAGCTCCATGCGTCCCATTCGTCATTGTCTCCCTAGCACATAGCATCGTGCCCGGCACATGGTAGGTGTTCAGTATCTTTTTGTTGAACGAATGAGGTGCTCAAGGAGTGGAGGGAACCTCCAAAGGTCACCTAGTCCATCCACCTGCCTCTCCGCTGAGCCACACCTAAAGCGTCCCAAGTGCTATTTTGGGTACGGTTGTTCTTAGCAAGCCTCTCTGACAGCTGGGAAGAATCAGAGAAGCAGCCTCTCCGCGCAGGCTTTAGTGCTCCAGGCCACGTCCAGGAGCAGCTCTGGTGGAAACCAGAGCTGGGAAGCGAGGGGGGCGGAGAGGCAAGTGGGTCCCAAGCCTTGAAGCTTGGCTGGAAGTAACTCAGAGGTGGGCAGTCTCCTCTTCCTGGGAGGTTAACAGGTGAAGCTGAAAAGCTCCTGTTCAGGAGAGGCTCGGAGACTTTGCAACTGGGGTTCTGAGCGACTGGGGTGTTGCTGGGCTCTGTCAAGGCGGAGGGCCACTTTTCCAGGGCTGGAGTCCCCCCACGAGCAGGCTGCATTAGGGCAGAGGTCTCCCGACACGTGCAGAGGGTCTAGGAAGGGCAGCTTCCAGATCCGCCTCCTTCCAGGTCGGCTCAGTCCCTATACTCCCTCCCCCCATCCCCGCCAATAACTTTGGTGAAATATTAATAGGAGTGTGAGGCTACAGCTCCTTAAGGAGATCTTTTCTTCCAGGATCTGTTTTTTCCAGGGTATTTCGCAGTGGCTGGGGAGTGTCGGGGCCTAACACAGTCAGGCTGTACCAGGAGCCAGAGCCCAGAGTATTATAATCTCATGGGAAGATAGGAAGAAATGATTAGTGCGTGTTGAATGGCCCTGCTGTGAGCATTCTGAGCTGGACTGGTCCTGGGGCAAAATCAAGGGCAAGTCCTAATCTCATTTTCAGGTAGGGGAAGGGTAGAGAAGTGACTTTCTGGGGCAGTCTCTTGAAAAGCAGGCATAAACAGGGAACAATGGTACCATTCCTTTCTGACCTGCTCAACCTGGTGCTTGATACGAAAGGGGTGTGTGTGTGTATGTGTTTGTGTGTGTGTGTCAGAAAGAGGGAGAGGGAGAGACTAAGCATAAACTTGTGAACCCTCTTAGGAGGCTAATGCTTGCTCCCAAATCCCCCCTGGATAGGGATGGATTTGCCCCTTGTTTTCTTATAAAAACCTGTGTTTTCTAAATGCAATATACAAAGTGGCTCAGTGGAGCCACCCTTGAGCTTCAGACCCCCTTCACAGCTACCCTATCCCTATCCTCGCTGCTCCCGGCCCCACCCCCTGCCACCAAAAGCTTCTTAATTCAAAATAAAAGTTACAGAACAAGATTGGGAAGACTTCTTCTGACCTGGGACAGTAGGAGACAAAGGGGTGACACTTGGCTGAAGCCCCAGGGCCTAGGAGGGTAGAAGGGAGGAGACAGCTGGCACTGGATTTGGCAAATGTCACTGAACGGTGACCACGTACCTAGGATTGTGCTAAGAGCTGTGGACACCACAGCAAAGAATGAGATGCTGTCTCTGCCCACAAGGGACTTGCACGCCCCTGCTCACCTCATGCCTATCTGCAGAAGGTGAATATTAAGTCCTCTCTTTACGAAGAGCTGACAGTGTGCACACAGTTAAAACCTCCTGAAGCTCTAGGATGCTCCTCACCAAACCTGCCCTTATCTGGTCTACTCACGGAGGAGCTTAAATGTGCTGGTTCATCCTCCTTTTCTTAGTCCTTAAGTGGCACTGAACATGCCCTGCCTTTGCCACTCCTCACTTTGTAGCTGCAAAAATCGCTCTCCCTTTTGGGGCTCAATTTTCTCCTTGGTGTTAGGTTGAACCATATGAAATTACTATTTTCCTAGGTCAAATATGACCAAATATCAGCAATTTCATATGGTTCAAGTGAATAAAATGAAGGGGCTGATCTGCTCTCTAACGTCCCTTCGATCTCAGACATTTGTGACTCTTTGGACAATCTCTGTTTCCTCCCTATTCTCCACAGGTGAGTTCACCGCTGCTGGTCTCTTACCTCTCTGTGCACCTGGTTAAGGTACACTTGTGTCGTAACAGCTTTAAGGCAAGTCCTACTCCTCGGTTAGTGGCTTGTTCTGTTTCCTGGATCTAAGATGCTCTTGTCATTGTCTTTCTCTGCTGAAGAACTTCTTATTCTTCAATGCCAGCTCCACGTTGTTACCTGCCTTCCGGTACCATCTCTGGCTCTCTCGGCCAGAAATCGTTTCTCCTTTCTTCATGCTGCAAGAGCTCTTCTCATACCTTTAGTGACATTTTTTTTTTCTTACTTTAAATGTAAACATGCTCAATGTAGAATATTTGGAGACAGAAAAAATAATACAGAGAAGGAATAGGAATCAGGTGCAAGCCCTCGTCATCCAGTGTCAACATTTGATGCATTTCTTCCCAGTCTCTTTGCTATGCAAATGTTAAATGTATGTTTGTAAGCTGCTGTGGCCCTTTCAAATATATTTTGCATTTGGGGCCCTAAATTCTTTATTCCTTCCTGTGTCTATATCCTTAGTCATGTGACTTTGCAGTGCCTCCTATCAAAGAGGTGGGGTATATTTCTCTTCCCTTTAACGTTGGGTGAGGCCATGTGACTTGCTTTGGCCAATGGATTTTTATTGTTCGTTTACTCGGTCAATGTGTAGATAATTACTTGATCATGTAGCATAACTTCATGACAACATTTATTCAGGGGCATTATAATGATCTGTTTTTACTAGCTGACTCACAGATTGAAAGTATCTCGAGGGTATGGATTGGATCTTAATCTCTTTTCCCTTAGAATCATTGGCAAAGAGCAGATATTCAAGAGGATAATCAGATTAGATATTAATATTTGTTATCTATGCCGGTGTAATTATTTATGCTGGTGTAATAAATTATGCCTAAACTTAGTGGTCAAAGCAACAAACCTTTATTATCTCGAGGTTTCTGTGTCGCAGGAATCTAGGTGTGGCTTGGCAGAGTCCCGAGGGCCCCCCCCCCATCACTGATACTGAGGCTACAGCTGGGGCTGTCATCGTCTCAAGTCTCAGGGCGGGGGAGCACCTGCTTCCCATCTCACCCAGGAGGTCGTTGGCAGGAGGTGGCTCCTCCCAGGCTGTTGGATTGATGGCCCCCGTTTCTCACCGGCTGGTGGCTGGAGGCTGCCCTTCTCTCACAAACGGGGCGGTTTGTGACATGGCAGCTGCCTCCTGTGACAGCAAGAGAGCAAGAAGGCAAAGGAAGGCAAGCGAGGCAGAAGCCAGCATCGTTTTGTAACCTGGTCTTGAAGGGACAGCCATATTCTGTTCACTAGAAGTAAGTCACTAGATCCAGCTGATGCTCAAGGGGAGGGAATGGTATTATAGGCAGGGACCTCGGGGAGCAGTCTTGGAAGCTGCCTACCACGCTCACAAGGGCAGAGTCAGTTTGTGTGGCTTTGTGGAGCCCGAGCACACACCTTATTGTTTAATGGTTTGATAGTGATGAAGAGAAATGAGAGCGGCGTGGAAGCCATTTGGGTAATCCACACACTAGATACTGGACTAAGAAGAGCTGACGCGCACAGAGCGGTGAATGCCCAGCACAAGGAAGTGGACCAGGAGCTCTTCAGTGGGGGTCCATGCATGCATCATCTGTGTTCCCGTGTAGGATACAGGATAACAGAAAGCTCAGCTGGCAGGTCTCAGGGACCCTGCCCTTAGGTGGTCTGGTGCTGTGTTAGAGGGACTTCATGCTCCGCCTGATCCAGCCTGGTCAGCTCATCTCTGAGGGACGGGAGGTGTTAGTTGGAATAGTCCCCAAAAGAAACATGATGTCTGAAGGTGCATGAGTGTTATTAGAAAAGATGTTGGGTGTGCTTGTGTCCTTGCAGGTGGAGCAGATGATGGGGCTCAGAGGTGCAGGGTTAGGGGTGAGCAGAAAATGCTGGTTGTCCCCGGGGAAATGCTCAGCCTCTTTAGCTAAAGTGCAGTGGAGAGAGCCCTGGGTCAACTCAGGCAGATTGAGATTTGGACCCTGGCTGGGACCCTTCCTAGTTAGAAGAGAGGTGACCTTGCATGAGATAGTTAGCCTCTCAGAGTCATATGAGTTACAGGATAATCAGAACACTTAAACTCACAGAGCTGATGAGAGATTGTTTGCTTGTTTTAGCCTCTACTTTGTTCAGAGAGAATTCAAATCAATGTTTGGAGAATAAAAAGACATAAACACAAAAGCATCTAACACAGGGCCTGTCATTTCACCCACCCTCCTGTCCATCTATCTACCCATCCATCCATCAACCCATTGATCTACCCAACTGTCCATCACCCTTTCATCCATCCACCCATCCACTCTCCATCAATTCATCCATTCTCCCACCTGTCCATGTGTCCATCCATCTACATGTATATCCATGCATCCACCCACTCATCCACATACCTGCTATCTACCCATCCATAACATTTATTGAGCACCTACAGTATATCAGGCATGGACTGGCTGCTTGGGTTGCCTTAGGCTCTGGGGAAACAAGACAGTTATAGTCCTTGTCCTCAAGAAGCTCACAATCTGTTAACAGCAAAATAAATATTTTCCTTTTCTTCTTTCCTCCTTTCCTTTCCTTGCCCTCCACCCCATTTTCCCTTTCTCTCTCCTTTCAACTTCACTTCCATTTGGGGGAAGAATTGATTGCACACTGAGGTTGGGGCAAAAAGCCAAAGTTGTGGTGGGCTTGGCTTCCCAAAGAGAGACCTTTGGCCTTGGTGCAGTGGCCAGTTGCCTGAGTGAGCCCCCCATGATGAAAAATTAAGTGCTTGTTTGAGCCGCTATGAGAGGCTAGCAGGGGTCCCTAAGCTCTAGCGCCCGGGCTCTCTCTGTAGCATTTCTCTGGGAGTGGCCAGACCCAGAAGTGGGGCAGGTAAATGCCTTCTCTCTTCTGTCCCCAGCACCCACTCCCCAGCTACTCTTTGATGCCTGGAAGGCCACCAAGGGAAGTGTATTTTTTGAGCTTAAGGCTTTGATCCCTGTGAAAATCCTTGTGTGAGGGTCACAGTTTGAACTGGTACTGATTATTTACACTTGGTTGTGAATGAGTGTCACCACTTTTTTCAATGGGATTAAATCAACAGGTATTTATTAAGCCTGCTTGACATCACATTGGGGGTGGGAGCTACTAGCAGCAACGGGATATTTGGAGAGAGCCCTGGACGAGGAGACAGGGACGCTGGTGATAGTCTCTGCTGGGTCACTTATGGACGACTGAGCCTTGTGCAGGCTGCTCTCCCTCTGGGCTTCTGGGGTGATCTGGAAGGTGGCTCCCAGGCCACCCAGATCTGTAAGTGCATACATAAGGACCTGAGCAGTTGTACAGGGCCCCGTGCTTGGTTTCTCCCATTGCTACCTTGGAAAGAATACTTTTTGAACACAAGGCCCCACACTTTGCACTGTGCCCGCAAATTATATAGCCAGTCTTGGTGGTGGCGGACTTAGGAAAGGGGTTTCAAGGACAAACACTACTCACTTTAACAGCTTGCCCTTGTGGCTGCTGCCCCCGTCCTCTGCAGTACAGTCCAGGACTCACATTGAGGGTGGGAGATCACATTGGCGGTGGGAGCTAGTAGCAGCAAGAGAAGCCATTGAGAAGCCATTCCTGAATAAGCCCACCTGCTGGGAACACTCAAGTCCTCCTTGGCAAGAAGGCAGACAACAGCTTGACTTTTACTTCTTCATGGTACTTGGGGAGGAATACTAGGTAGTTTCAAATGTGCGTACCCATTTCCTTGCTAGTAGCTTTTAAGCAGTCCCCTCCTTTTCTGGATGTCCCGCTGCATAGTGGAAAAAAATGTCTTTGGAATCACACAGTTCTGGGTTTGAGTTCCGACTTCACCTGCTAGAAGCTGCGTGATAAAGGGAAGACAGCACCGGCTTAGAACCTCGGGTGCTGCCCTCCCACCTGCCTCCCTGGGTAGCTGGGAGGATGGAGAGAGATGTAGATTATTGCATTTAGTGCAGTAGGCACTAAATAAATGAAAGGGTTATCTTAACTCTTGGAGTCTGGCTCCCTCGCCTATAAAGTGGAGAAATCACCCCACCTCTAGGTGGAAGGCGCAAGGACATTTAGATACATTATCAACTAAAAATACCCAGACCCCAGGCCGCCTCCCCCAGGCTCTGGCAGACTGAGCGCCGCCCCCAGCGGGAGTCCTGACGGCGGAGTCCGGCATCTCTGGGGCGATGGTGCCGCATGAGTTTCTAGCCGCTGGTGAGCCCTTTGAGGTTTGAGTTACATTTTCACTTGGCAGAGTCCAGCTCTCTGATTCAAAGAGAAAAGCTGTCAGAGAGAGAGGGATAGGAAGAGAAGGGGGGGAGGGTGTAAAAAAAAAAAAGGCTCCCACAGCTCGGGACTTGGAATGGCTCTGCGGAGACCAGGCGGGATGCATGCAAATCAGAAACACATGCAGGAGCTTCCCTCCCTGCACACGCGCGCTCCGGACTGAAGGCGCCAAGCCCTGGACATGCCGGCTCAGGACCGGCCAGGCTTGGCCTGGGAGGAGGACATGGAGACCAACCTGCACCTGTGTCCTCTTGTCCTGTCCTGGTGAAAGCGGAGAAGATGGGAGCAGTGGCCGGTTCTACGGCTCTACTCTTGGACTCTGAAGGGTCTTAAGATCTCTTGGATCTCCTGGAGGAAGACCAGGGACAGCTTAATGGGGGGGGGGCATCTGGCACAGGGCACAGGGCAGCGGAAAGAGCATGGGCTTCGAAGGCAGAAAAACTTGAGTTAGCATCCTATGTCCCTTTCTAGCTGTTTGACTTTGGGTACGTTACTTAACCTCTCTGTGCCTGAATCTTTTCAACTAAAATACAAGAGCCGCGATCCCTGTCCCAACAGGCTTTTGTGAGAATAAAACCAAACTTTGTATTTTATTTATCTATTTAATGATGGATTGATTTGGTCCCTTATACTTCTTTTCTTTCCACAAAGGAGATAAGACAGCCCCTTAAAAGAGATGTAGTATATTAAAGAAATCGTGGCAAAAATTAACTAAAAGTGGAACAAAACATGCACAGCTTGGATTCTTGCACCGTTATTAAAATTGGTTAGTAAATTTGTCTCTGAGCTTCTGGTTGGTCGAACTAAAGTAGAAAACATCATTTAAAAAATTCACATTATTGATTAAAAAAAAAGTTTCTCCTGAGAGCAGCCTTCCTTGACACCGAGGCCACAGTGACTTTTCCCAGAGGTTCAGTCCCAGGGGTGGTGGACTGGGAATGAGCAGAGCGTGGTTCTTTGCTGCATTTGACTATGTTTCTCACCCTGGCCCTCAGTGGAAGGCATTGTAAGGGACGCGGTGCACCTGTCTTGGGTCCCCACGCACAGTAGGTGCTCTCTCTGATGGGCTGCACGTGGTATTGGGGTGACTGTCTACTTGCAGGAGAAGGGCTGGTGATCCAGTGTGGCTTTCATCTCACAGCTGTCCTCTGTGGCTTGATTTCACCTCCTGGGAACTCAACCCGCCCCTCTGTCCCTGCTAGTCTGAAGCCCTTGTGGGGGACACCTCTCGGTGGCTCTGAGATGGAGACACATTGGGCTGCTCCCAAGAAGCCCGAAGCCTCCTCCCGGGGCTCTGCACACTTGGTGCAGTGACATTTCATCTCTCTGGGTTCTGTCCCAGGGAGAAAACATGTGGGCATTCTGTAATAACTCGAACACGGCTCCTTCCTGCCCTCCTCTCTTTGTTTTTCCTTCCTGGGCAAATGAAAGGCAGAGTGAATGAAAGTTTCTATTCTGATGGGAAAACTCACCCCTGCCTTGTAATGAGCTAGAATAATTGATTTGTCGATGAAAACCGAGTCTGTGGAATTGATGCTTAGTGTCAAAACAGTCCAGATCACTTGGGTACCAATTCATTGTCTCTGGAGGGAAGCTGTTAGCCCGGAGTCCCGAGAGAAAGGAGCAGGCTCAGTGGAAACATGAAAAGCTTCGATTGTGCTCAAGCTCCCCAGCATGGCACTGCCCTGTTGGGGTTTGGTTTCAGTGCTCCAGATCGAAGGTCCTGGCGAATATCTTCTTTCTCCCCTTTCTCATGAGGGTAGAAATAACTTGGCAATTGCCCTGCTGCAGCTACTGTTTGAACGTGGATATTAATTTAATCTGGAGTTCTGTTACTCTTTAAATATTTAGGGGTTTGGCTCAGGCCTTTGTGTTCTTATGATGCAATAGACAGTAAAAAATGGAATAGGGATGTCTCTACTCATTTTAGAAAGGGAAAGGATTCTTGGCCTCCTTTCTCCCCTATATCATGCTCCAGGTCTGTTTTTATTCCTCTTCTGACTGCAGCTTCTGGTGAGAATGAACAGTTATTTTGACATCTATGGGCAGAAGCCATGGGGTGGAGGAGAAAGAGAATATACTTGAGGGTCAGACAGATTCACAGGGGGATGTCCACAGCCTTGCTCCTTCACCATGAGCCGTGTGAATTTAGGTGAATGTTTCAGAGCTCCGTCTTTTCCTCTGTAAAATGGGGCTATAGACACCTACTCCATAGAGTCTGGATGAATACAGTCTCTCTCCCGTAGTCATGCCCCAAATGCCAGAAATCCAGGTTTCCCTGGACTTATGACATCGAGTCTTCTGTGCATAGTCAGTACTTGGAACAATCCGGGAGCCTTGCTCCATGATAAAAGCCAAGCTGTGTGAGCCAGAGGAAGCATGATCGGCGTAGGTGACAATGAGAACAACACCTAGGCAGCTGTTGAGGCTGACTGAGGGCCAAGTTGTGTCTGCACCTTCATTCAATCCTCACCACTCCCGGTGAGGTGGATGCTTGCTGCAGACTGAATGCGTATGTCTCCCCAAATTTCATGTGGAAACCTACTCCCCAGTGTCATGGTATGAGGAGGTGGGGCCTTGGCAGGTGATTAGGTCATGAGGGTGGGGCCCCCACGACTGGGATTAGTGCCCTCATAAAAGAGACCCTGGAGAGCTGCCTTGTCTCTTCCTTCCCGTGAGGACACAGCAAGAAGGGGGCTGTCCGGGAAGCAGGAAGCTGTCCCTCACCAGAAACGAGAGCTGCCGGTGCCTTGATCTCGGGCTCTCCCACTCTCCAGAACTGTGAGAAATACATCTCTATCGGTTTTCAGCCACCCGGTCTATGGCTACATAGCGGCCTGTGCAGTCTAAGACAGTATTCTTAACATCCCAGTATATGGATGAGGACATTGAGACTCGGTGAGGTTGCTAGTCTGTCCCCAGCTGCACAATGTGGGGGGTGGGCGTGGGGAAGGCACACCCCAGGCCAGGCCCTGAGAGCACCTGATGACATGGGGACACCTGGATGTGCGGCTGTCTGGTGCCAGGGTTGGAGGGTGCCCTGACTGGCTTCGGGCAATGGGTAGGACATGCCCTCCGTGAGTCCCGCGTCTGCCCGCCCTTCCCATGCCCTCTCCACCCTCTGGCAGGCACGGCAAGGATGCTGGGGTCTGCGGCCACTGAGACAAGGCAGGCTCCGAGGAGTCCTCCCCGGCTGAGCCTGTGTTTCGCAGGTCTGGCAAGTTAATGGGCTCAGAGCGGTGGGCACCTGCGCTCTCTCCATTGCCTCTTCCGGCGATTCTTTCCCCTGCCCATCCTCCTCCTCTTCCTCTTTTGACTCCTCCGAATTTTCTGTCTCCTTTTTCTCCTCTTCCTCCTTCGCACCCTCTTCCTCTTATGTATTCCTTTCCCTTTATCCTCCTTCTCTTCTCCTTTCAACAGTTGTCTTTTATACAGACTCGTATATAAACACATATATAAGTATGTGTAAGCAATGTGAAGTCACTAAACTACATATTGTGTGTGTTACATAGAACACACACAAACATATATATATATATGTATACGCACAAACATGCATATATATGTACACACTCATACATATTTAAAGTCAGTGTAATTACACTCCCAGACGTGTCCTTCTGCTCAGAATATAGGAAGCCCAGAAGGCAGCCCTGCCCGGGGCCACTGGAGGCTCCAGGGTTAGCTGCAGAACGGGGAGGGGACTACAGCTCCTCAAAGGCAGGGGCTTTTTAGTATCAGAGACCACTTGGGCTAGACATTTCTTTCTGATACTAAGTTGCTATGTATGTGATGCTGGCAAAATTACCTCTGTTGCTTCTTCATGTGGAAAATAAAACCTACATACTGCATAGAGATGCAGTGATGCTCAGATGAGAGTATTAGGAGAAATACAAACGCGAGTCCTTATTTTCATTACAGGTTGTTTATTCACCCCTTCGTGTGAAACAACCACAGGACAACTGTGGCCCTGGGGGTGGGCAGGGAGGGAAGGGGGAGGAGTGCGTGTCGGGGGAGGCTTCTCTTTATAAAAAGGAGAGTGGCTTTGACTTAATTCCTGTTGGATTGCTCACTCTCACTGTCTAAAGACATAGCCCTTAATTTTCTTTTAACTCATGCCCAACGGAAAATTTGTCTGACTTTTGGTAATTTGTATAATTAAAACGAAACATGTTTCCTTTTCCTAAGTATAACATTGTTTTGCAACACCCAGCCTGCTTTATCAAACGCTCCCTTCCAGAAATGTGGATCTGCCCTGGTCTTGGGAGATGGAGATTGGAACCGACAAGATTGGAATCGACAGACTGCTCACCTTTTCTGAGCCACCCATACCAGGTGGGGATGAGACACCCATACCAGGCTGTTGTAAGGAAATGAAGGTTCAGGGTGCGCCATTCCGAAGGGGCTTTCCTGCTGCGGGTCTCAGGAGGAACAGCAGAGAGGCAAGGCGGGGGTCCCTCAGTGAGAACAGTTTCTCTCTGGGGACTGTCCCCTGGAGATTTCGTGTGATATTTTTTCTCACCCTCAGGAATCTGGCCGAATGCCAGGGCTGCCTGTCGTGAGCAGTCTTGTTTGCTTGCCATTTGCAGAGTGTCAAGGGGTAAAGGACTGGCTTTGACTATTCAGTCGCTGGGGTGGGGGTGGGGAGCTGCCTTAGGCTGGCGCTGTGGACTTTCTCCTCCCGTTCAGGGACCAGAGCATGCACGTATGTGATTCAGTGGGAATCTGTGTGCCTGTGTGCGGTGGTGGGGGGAGTGTGACACTTCTTTGAGTGACTGCTTAGTGCCAGCACTGTCTTGCTGGCTGTGCTCTTAATACTCAGTCGTGCCCCTTGGAGGCATGATTATGCCCACCTTACAGATGAAGCCACTGAGGCTCAGAGATGGTATTTCATTCTTCCCAGCCACGTACCTAGGTCTGTGGCCTTGGAAGCCCAGATTAAGGTTAGGAGGGAGGAATGTTTCCGGGGGCCAATAGGACAAATTTCTGAGGGCCTAAGCCTTTTCTTCCCTGTTGGCCCATTTCCTTGAGCAGAATGAATTTGAGGAACGTGGTGACAACAGTGACTGACCCCTAACTGTGCCCGTCAGGAGGCCTGGGCTTTTGGATCTGCTGAATAGGGAGTTAACCATTCAGAATGCAGCCTCCCCTCCCCGAGCTGTGCACCGCCATCCTCCTAAGAACCAGAGATTTTGATGGATGGGTCCCTGCCAGTCTTCGCCTTGACTTTTGCAGGCCGTGGTTCCTTGGTCTGGGATGCTCAGCACAATGGCCATAGGCTAAAGCAGGAAGATGCCAGAGGGGAAAGTAAAACACGAGTGTGGACTTCAGAGTGCAAACAACTCTACGCTCAAATCTTGTTCTGCCACCTTCCAACTGTATGGCTTTCGGTAACCATGGCTCCCCTTTGAGCCTCTGTTTACTCATCTGTAAAATGGGGAAGATATTCTCCTATGCTGTAAGAGTGAACTCAGATGAGGAACAAGGATGTGCCCAGCATGGAGCACGGAAAGTTCTGCCCTTCCCTGCCCCCAGCTGCTCGGGGTTAAAAGCAAGAGACATACATTTCATAAGCACTAAACTTCACTTGGAGAGAAAAAAAAGTAAGAAACAGAAAAGGAAAGACAGACGGAGGGATCTGGATCTGCAGAGGGTTAGTCACCTCAAGAGTGATGCTCGGAGCTGTCCTCACCAAATGGCGTCTCCATAACAGATCACACCCAGAGGCGGGGAGGATGTCCCCCATCACCCCAGGCCCTGCGCTGGGCCGGAAGCGCATCAGGATCCTGTTTTGAGGAGGGGACATGAGGCCGTGGCCTTGCTGGCTGCAGAGGCAGAAGGAGCCCACCAGGCTGGGCCCCCTGCCCAGCTGTCTGCAGTTGGGGAACCGAGCCCACTGGGGGGTTCTAGTGCCAAAGAAACAAAAACTCTCCAAGTTCACAACTGTGGAGAAACACTTCTTCAATTTGTTTTTAATCAAACTCCCCATGCCGACACTTGGGCTCCATTCAACCATTTAAAAAGTTCCACTAGCAAATAAACACTTAGCCAAATATTTGCCCTTATGTGTTTTCAATAGTAAATACCAGCTATATTGCTCATCTCCTTATGTCACCCCGTCGGCCCACCCCTGCTTGCCCTGAGTTGAGTGGCCTCTTCCAAGATGGGTGGGACCCCTTCCTGACCTCCCACCATGGCAGCCAGGAGTGGTGGCCTCTAGCCCTGCTGGGGAAAAAAAGTCCCTTCCCACGCTGGAGGCAGACTGAGGGGGCAGACAGAGAGAGGGCAAGGAAGGACTTCAATTTTCATGGTACAGAGGGTGTTTGGGATCTTAAGTTATACAAAACACAACTACACACAGACACACACACACATGCACAGACTTGCACATGCACACACGCAAACATGCCCCATCCCACACGGCAACCACGGTATTGGTTAGCATTCCTTGATTGTAAGCAACAGATACCGATTAACTTGGGTGAAAAAGAGAATCTCTTGGAGGAATTGAGGTGAGCTCCTAAGAGAAAAGGCTTTACAAGCCTAGGTTTGGGAAAGACAGGGCCAGGCAGGAAGGTGTCCGTAGCAGGAAGCAGAATTTTCCAGCCACTGGGAAGAGTGTTCTCCCACTTTTCTTAGCCTCGGACACTGCTCTGGAGTCAAATTCTAGAAAGGGAATTGCCTATTGGCCTTGATTGGGTTCTCCCTGTCGACCAGGAGACGAGAAGATGCCTTGATTGACAGTTCCTCATGCCTTGGTCGCATTGTTTCTCAACTTTCTTCACATCCTGACATGCATAGGATATTACGTTTGTAAGACATAATTGGGCGAAAGGACGAGGCCACTTCTGGCCATAGGTTGCTGCTGAACACTGCGTCTCCAACCAGGGCAGAGGGGCTCAGCATCTCACACGGCTGGACCCTTTCATGGCAACCACTGGGAAGCTCCACTCTTTCCCAGAGGGAGAGATGATCCGCAGAACTTAATCAGGATGCCGTCCACAACAGCATGTGGAATGGATGCCGAGCGCCCACCCCCGGCCCCAACATGTGCCACGCCTCCAGGATCATCTATAAAGCCATGGGAGCTACTCCTCTGCCTCTGCCACCTCCCCACCTCATTCCCGCCACAAATATATTGGATTTCCCCACTTAATTCCTCTCTTGGTGCAGGGGCAGCAGACAAATGCATGCATGTCTCTGCTCACTCATCACAAATCTCTGCTTTAAAAGACTATGGGTGCTTGAGGGCCCAGGCTCATTGGCCATTCATTGGCATTTAGAACAGTGCTCTGGGCCTCGCGCAGTGGCTCACACCTGTAATCCTAGCACTCTGGGAGGTCGAGGAGGGTGGGTTGCTGGAGGTCAGGAGTTCGAAACCAGCCTGAGCAAGAGCGAGACCCCATCTCTATTATAAATAGAAAGAAATTAATTGACCAACTAAAAATATACATACAAAAAATGAGCCAGGCATCGTGGCACATGCCTGTAGTCCCAGCTACTCGGGAGGCTGAGGCAGGAGGATTGCTTGAGCCCAGGAGATTGAGGTTGCTGTGAGCTAGGCTGATGCCATGGCACTCACTCTAGCCTGGGCAACAAAGTGAGACTCTTTCTCTAAACAAAAAAAAGAACAGTTCTCACATAAATCAGTCGTCAAAACAGACCCCAAACTTAGCCAAAACCTCTGCTGCAGATGTACCAAACACGCAGCCTACTCAGATAGACCTGCTGTTTACAGGTCTGCTTGGGGGGCCCTTCTTTACTAGCCAGGACCTCTACTGAAGGAGACCCTTGACGTGTATTTATCAAATGAATGAAGACAACAGTAGGGTGGATTCTCCCCAAATAATAATCAGGCCAAGGCATCAGATAATCCAAAAACGTTCACGGTATTCTTGGTTTTTCAAGGCTTGACATCTGGAATCTCTTAGGAAAACTGGATCCAGTCTGCCCTATTCTTGGGCTGGCAAAACTATAATGTTGAAGAAATAAAGACAGGACTGCTCTGGGATGACTATGCACATTGATGGAGAAATGGGATTTGGTTTATGAAATATTTGGATGAAGTCTCAGGAAGGAAGAAAGCTAACTTCTGCGGAGAGCTTACCTGACCCAGGTAACTGCACTTGTATTATTCCACTGTGTCTTCTCAGCAAACTTTTGAGATAGGCATTATAATCCCCCCCTTTGCAAATGAAAATACTGAGGAGAGATTTGGACACATGCTTGGGTTTATTTTTAAATATTTGGAGTGAGGCAGAGCCGAGGCTCAAGCTCAGGTATCCTCCCCGGTCCAGAAAACTTTCTATTCCTCCTCTGTGTCCGTTTGCCTGCTCTGTCGTCGATAGAGGGGTTTTCTCTTGGGGCGAGTTTTAGTTCTGGCTTGTACCAAAATTAATTGACAGGCCACCTGCTGTGGGACAGAGGTGGCTTAGAGCACGTGATCGTATGTTTGGGAATCCTGTGTTGAGACTGAAATCAACATTAACTCCAGCTGAGGTTCCTTCTCAAATACACGCACACATGTGCACACACACGTGCACTGAAGCACAATTAAGGGCCGATGACCACACACAAGATTAACGCAGGTGTCACCGAAGTCCTCTCTCAGTCGCTGGGAGGGCGGTGGGCAGGTCGAGGAGGCAGACAAGCCTGGGTAAGACACTCCAGCTCAGCCACTTAACAGTTGTGTATTCCTGGACCAGTCATTCTGTCTCCTAGCCCAGCTCATCTGTGAAATGGAGCAAACAACACCTCCTGGTGGCTGTGAAGATTAAGCATGGTCATGCGTGTGTGGCAGATGCTGTTACTTACCTACCTGTCCCTTTTCTCTATTTCCTTATTCATAGAGTTCTGTCATTGTTCCAGGTGGTGATGGGCCTACTTAAAAATGCCCACCACTTCACATTCCCTATGGGTTAGAATGATCTCATAACCTGGTTATGGGAAGTCACTGAATGAAGTTTCTAGAAGCACTTGTAAAAGAGGGTGGGGGTCTGCTGACATGTGCATCTCCCCTTTTCTCTTTCCTTTTCCTTACTGTTCAGATGAGACACCAGAAGGCTGAGCGTCAGTCTAGTGGCACTATGAGGACTAAGAGCACGGGCTAGACATAGAAGAGCAGGAAGACAATTGCACCTTGGTCCCTATTGGTAGATTGAATGATTTGCTCAAAAAACACAGTGCCTCTCCATGGGACGCCGACTCACGGCCCTCCCGGGGGGAGGGCAGCATTCCCGTCCGTTCCATCAGGCATGGCCACGTGACTCACATGGGCCAGTGGAATGTAAGAAGAAGTGACACGTTTCCTGCTTGAGAAGTTTAGTGCCACCCCGCGATTTCATCATTGCTCTTCTCCCTTTGACGTGAGGCCACAAGTCCCAGACAGGAGCTACTTCTCCAGCTTGGAGTGCAGAAAGAGGATAACAGAACAGAGCTGCAGCTGACCTGTGAAGGGTGTTTGATGTGAGCAAGAAGCACAACTTTGTTTCTGTAAGCTACTAAGATCTGGGGTGGTTTTGTTACAGCAGCACGGCCTATGAAAGCAGACTAATTAGTAGAGTCCCTGATGGCATCATGGGGCTGCCACACTGACCACACTGTTTTTACTTCCAGACTTCTTGCTATGTGACAGAAAGCAACTCCACTTTGGCTGATCTACTGTTATGTGCGACTATGACAATTCTATCTAGTATCATGAAGGTACTGTGTATGTTTATACTTAATAAATAAATGGTCACTATTATTAGGGTAATACACATATGCATTTTAGAAAAAAACTCAACTTATGCAAATCTATATTTATTAATGAGATAAAGTGATGGAAGATTTTTTATTTTTATTTTTAATTGTTTTTAGAGACAGAGTCTTCTTCTGTCTCCCTCTGCACTTCTGGGCTGGAATACAGTGGCCCCCGAGCATAGCTCAGTGTAACCTCCAACTCCTGGGCTCAAGCAAGCCTTCCACGTCAGCCTTCCAAGTAGCTGGGACTAGAGGTATGCGCCAGTATGCTTGGCTAATTTTTAAATTTTTTGTAGAGATGGGGTCTCACTAACTTGCCCAGGCTGGTCTTGAACTCCTGGCCTCAAGTGGTCCTCCTGCCTTGGCCTCCCAAAGTGCTGGGATTATAAGCATGCGCTACTTCACCTGGCCAATGAAAGATTTTTAAAAGGAAATTCTGTTTTGTTAAGAACCAGTTAATTCACGTATTTTTATAGAAAAAACTGGACTCTGCAAAAGAGTATAAAGTCAAAAATGAAGATTTCTCTCTGTCATCCCCTCAATACTTCTCTCCAGAGATAACCTGGCTATCATACCAGAACATTTTTCTATGGACCAGTCCTAGGCCTTGGGTACAAAATTTAAGGAGGCCCTCACTCTCAGGCTTGTGCAGCACAGAGTCAACACTTCCATGAGCCTGAGAGTGAGGGCTTCCTTAAATTTTGCTCCCTGAGAACCCCACTTACTTCTCCTTGATGTTGGCCCTGCTATGCATTGCACGCATTCATGCGGGTACTTATATAGTTAGTTTTCAAAACTGAAATCACTTCTATTTTACTGCGACTTGCTTTTTTTTTTTCATGCAAAAGTGAATCAGGACTATCCACTTGTGTCAATTCCAACAATTCTATTTTAAACTTTTCATAGTCGTATAGTATTTCATATGATAATATAAAGGCACCATAGTTTAGCCATTTCCCTACTGATGGACATTTGCATTTTAATCTTGCTGTCACAATGAATACTATCAAAAAGAATACCTGGGGCAATAGACACTTGCAAGTATTTCCTGTGATAGATTTCTAGAGATGGCAATTCCAGGGAAAGGGGTATTTAAAAATTTTGAAAGCTATAACCCAAGCATCCTTCCAAAATTTTGCACCAATTCATGTTCCCACCGATGGTGCAGAAGGATATAATGGTAGACATTTTACATTAGAATTATCTGCAGGATTTCTTTAAATAGCCAGCTTTCTTGGTACTTATGATTTCCCCAAATTAGATTCGCATGCAGTTTTCCAGCAGCCTGCTCTTGCATGACTCCAGACAGCCTGCCAAAATGTGTGTGCCGCCTTCTGAGCCAGCCCCTTCCCTGCTGCGGAGCCCAGCTGGCCGATGGTTGCTCTGGGTTTTCCTCTAGGCCTGGAGTGAGGGGCTCTGTTTTGTGCATGGGTCATTAGGAGACCATTGTGGCGCTCTAATCTTTTCAAAGATCGGAGGAGGGTCCTAAGCCCTACCGGCTGGGACCCACAGCTATAGAAAACACCTTCTCCACTATAAAGGAATTTGTTGAATCTCAATCTCTATATTTTTGAAGAAAACAATTTGATGTGAAATATTGCTAGGTGTCCTGGCAAGCAATTGACCACTTGAGATTCCTGAAATCCTCCACCCTCCTTTGTCTCCTGCACTTTTCCTACAGTCCTGGATGGATGTCAACTCCTGTCCATTCACCTTCTAAATAGGGAGTTGGCAGATTATGGCCTGGGGGGCAAATCTGGTTTGCAGCCTCCTTTTGTCATATAAAGTTTTATTGGAACACAGTCACGCTCATTTGTTGGCAAATTGTCTATGGCTGCTTTCGCCACCTCAGAGTTAAGTATTTGCGACAGATTGTACAGTCTGCAAAACCTGCAATATCTAGTATTTGGCCTTTTATAGATAATGCATGCCAACCTTTAGCTCTAAATGATTTTGAAGTTTGTTCCCTCTTCTTCCTTGTCTTAGTTCATTGCATCTTGCCTGGATGACTGCAGTAGCCACCAAGCTGGTCACAGATAGGGTGAGCTTTCTTAATTAACCCTTTGCACTCGGATGTCGAGTGTGACTCGACATGGTTACCAAAAATTATAGAGATAAAAATTACTCTTCGAATGTATCAATAATTTGAAATATAAAAAAATCCAAATAAATAAGTTTGTATGAAAAGAAGCTCCAGTTTTTTTTATTCTACTGCCATGCTTTGTAAAATCTGGGGTGTTTAAAAAATTAAATCCCGAGTAGAATAAAGGAATCGAGAAAAAAGCAAGCGAGTGCAAAGGGTTAAATACAAACATGAGAATGGCAGAGCCTCAGATGCTTCCATTTCTCCTAGTGTCTGTGACCTGAGCCGTCGAAGGCCCTCCGAGTCTGCAGGCCATGTGCAGCCGCCTCTCCACTCTTGTACCTGAGTGCCCCACACGTACTCAGTGTTCCAGTCCCTGCAAATGATTTGGCTTCCCAAACATGCCCCCGCTGTCTCACCCCTTTGCTCTTTACCTATGCGTGTCCCCTTGTCTGATGTGTCCCTTCTTGTACACCTGGTGAACTGTCACGTTTTCAGTGGTGCATTTGCCTACTCCCTCATTAACAAAGATATTTAACTTCTTCCTCTTTGCTCCCAGTGCACCGCTCTGGACAGGCCTCCCTTGACGAACTTCCGTGGCATTATTTGTAATCCTGTGTCTTTCCTGGTCTCCCTCTTGGACTGTGAACTCCAGCGTGCAGGAAGCTCACATTACTCTCCTCTGCATCTAACAGGGGCTGGCCCGTGCAAGTGCTAAAGAAATGTTTGCTGAATGAATAAACACTAATATCCACTGAGGTCTCGCTCTTGATCAGTAGTATCTCCCAGAAGCCTGACGACAGCCTTATGGCATAGACCCTGTTACGTTCCCACTTTACATATTGGGCAACTTGAGGGCACAGAGAAGTTAAGTCACTTGCCCAAGATCACAGAGCTGGCAGGATTCGAACCCTGGCAGTGAGACCACATGGTGTATCTCAAACCCCAACTCCCACACTAATGATGAGCAAATGAATGAATGAATGAACGAATTCAGTGAGACCCTGTGAGCTGAGGATAGGAAAGGTAAATGCTTCATGACCTAATAAAACCCATGAGTAGGGTTTACAAAAGGAAAACACAAAGATTCCAGGAGACCTGACAGGGATGGAGGGTATGAAGAATCAACAGCCCACAGAGTTCAAGGAGAGTTGAAATCGAGGGACAAATCAGACCTCCTGTGAATTGCTGGGGGTGCTTGAAGCAGGTGTGGGGTCGCAGTTGCATAAACAAGGCCTGCCCCTCTGCATATTGAGCGAAGGAAATAAAGGCACTAACCTTAACATTTATGGCACGCCTCCTGTATGCCTAACATCATGCCAGTGAATTGCACATATGCTGGCTCACTGAATGAAAATTGCCTCCTTCCCCTAAAACCTTCCTGATTAAGTACATTTTCATTGAAGTGCTATTATGTGCCAAACCATTGAACTAGATACTGAGAGAACAAAAATGAATAGAACTCTAGGAGTTCCCAGTCTGGCAGGGGAGACAGATGAGTATTTAATTCTAACAATGTGCTCAGTGTTATCAGAGAGAGAAAGCCAGGAGCACAGAGGGCACCTAACTCTGCCTGGAGGTGGGGAATATTTCAAGACAGCAATGTCTGGGTTTTGAAGGATGAATAGAAGTTTTCCAGGTGGACAAGGCAGGAAAGCATCCCAGAGAGAAATCCTAGTTAATGCCAAAGCACAGAGGCAGGAATGCCAAGGGAAACCTAGCTAGGAGGCTATTGCACTAGTCCGGGTGGAAACAAATGAAGGTCTGGGCTGGGGACATGGCCAGGGGAGATGGAAAGCGAGCCAAAAGATGAAGAAGTCCTAGTCTTGAAGTGTTAAAATATGCACCAACCACTTGCTTTTCAAAAAGCTGGGTTATCAGGATGCTCATCTGAGGGGGGCTGCATACACACAGTAGCAGTGGGATGGCCTGTATGTCACAAATGGCCTGGTAAAAGTACCCAGCAAAAAGGAGCAGGTATGTATAACACCTACAGTCCTGGTCTAGTCTAAAACAAGCGCATGTGTTGTGTAGGATGCACGTAGGCAGGAAGATAAGAGTTAAGGTGCAGCTAGGGCAAATCTGAGATGAGGGGTGTATTAGTTATTTACACCTGTGTAACAAACTACCCCAAAATCTAGCAGCTTAAGACATCAAGCATTTATTATTTTCCAGTTTCTATGGGTTAGGAATTTGGGAGTAGCTCGGATGCGTAGTTTGGGGATCTCTCGTGGGGTCGTCATCAGGATGAGGCGGAAGTCTTGGTTTTGCACTGGACATCTGGATTCCAGAGTTTACTTACGTAGCTGGCCAATTTGTGCTGGCTTTTGGCAGGAGGTCTCAGTTCCTCACCAAGAGAACCTCTCTGTAGGGCTGCTCCAGTGTCTTTGTGACATAGTGACTGTCTTTCCCCATGGGAGTGATCCAAGAGCGAGCAAGGTGGAAGCAGCACCTGTCATGATCTCACCTTGGAGGTCACACACTGTCACTTCCACAACAGCCTACTGGCTCTGCAGGTCTGCCCTCTTCAAGTGGGAGGGGGCCGCACAGGATGGGGGCCCAGGAGAGGAGATCATCGGGTGCTGTCTTGGAGGCACAAATGGGCCTTGGGCTAGCTGGGGGTGACCGGTAGAGCGGCGTGGAAGAAAGCACCGTGCAAGGTTTGGGGACAGAAACTGATTAACTGATAGCCATCCTGCCTCCACGAACCTCAGCTCCTCACCTGTGAAATGAGACTCATAATCCAAACCCTGATGGATAGCGAAGGTCATTTGAGAGAAGGCCCATAAAATGCTTTTGGGGACTCATAAAGCACTCTATTATGGAGTCGCCTAGTGGCCGCGCACATAGGCGGGATCGTTATGAAGTTCCATATTTCATCTGGATGGGAAATTTAGCCCTGATGAATCTAGGACCCCTTCATGAAAGACACTTCATCCTTTATTTCTGTGGCTGTAGAAATCCAATAAATAACGTTTATTGATCTTCTATTTCTACATGCCAGGAACAGCACGATAATAATTTCATTTCATTCCCTCAACGGTGCTGAGAAATGGGATCTATAAACCGCACTTTATAAGTGAGGAAACCGAGGTTCAGGGAGGTTAAACAACTCGTTCCAAACCTAGGGGGAACCTGGGACACAAGCCCAGGCCTGCCTGACTCTGGGGCAAATGAGAGATGGGCTCAGCAGGACTGGGCAGTGTCCCTCCTGTCCATACGTGGGACATTCTCGTGGCTGGGGTTCTGCAGGTCCGTGGCGAGGGGAGGGTGAATGGTGAGCAACAGGCCGTCTCCTACCCCTGCACGCCCTAAAGCCCTTGGCCCTGAATTGATGAAGGGTCTCCGTGTGTGTGTGTGTGTGTGTGTGTGTGTGTGGGTGTGTGTGTGTGTGTGACCACACCAGCAGCTGCTGCCATCCCAAAGCTGGGGATTAGGGTGACGAGTCCTACAGGCCCTCCGGCGCTGGATGCAGGCCAGGGCTGCAGCGGGCCGTGGACTCCTGGGAGGACGGCTCCCAGGCCATTCTCGGAAAAGCATTTGCAGCGAGGCCACTCCAGGTGCCAGGCCAGGCCATCAATCCCTCACTCTTCGGAGCAGCGAGTTTATAAAGTAGCAATTAAATAAGAGCTCTGTAAGTGCTTCTGGGAACTGCCCTGAATGCATTTTCCAAACATAAATAACGGGGACCTCCACTCCGAGCAAAGCACATGCAGAGCAGAGAAGCAGCGCCGAAAAGAAGGGAGCCCTGTTGTGCTAACGAGTTGGGCTACGTGCCCCTGGTGTGCACGTGTGCTCCGTGTAGGTGGCAAGTCCATTTGTCTTGCCTGCCTGGGTGGCATGTCAGCCTGCCTGGACAGGTCGTGGCGAGGGGATAGTGGCCATGACTCCTGCTCCACTGGGAAGGCAGAGCATCGTTGTTTCAGAGACAGCGATGGTTACTGCAGAAGCACCAACAATGAGAGCTTCTGTTCCCTGGGCACCTACTATGTGCCAAGAGCCCACAGAGCCCATGTCATTGGGAGGTTTAGAGACTTGTCCAGGGTGACAAAACCTGTAAGGTGGAGGGGCCCAAATGAGAACACTTCAGCATCTGACATTTATTAGGCTCTTACTATATGTCAGGTAGTCTTTCTACAAGTTTTACATGAATGAACTTACAAGTCTGTGCCAACAAACCTGTGCGGTAGGTACTCCACTATCATATTTCAAGGTGCAAGGACCGGGGTAGAAAAGTTAAGTCTCCTGCCCCACTTCACGCCAAGCCAGCATCCGAGCCCAGGAAGACTGGCTCCAGAGCCCTGGTCTTAACCATCATGGTGCTCCGTCGGAGCATCCATCCTGAGCCCTGGCCCTGGTGCCACCCTGCCTTCCCAGTTCGGGTTGATTATTATCAACTGTGTGTCTCAGCCCAGCCACGACCAGCTCAGTCTGGTTCAGAGAACATATCGGCTAAGTCCTCCCTGGCTGCCCATTCCTGCTTAGTGGGCCCTTCCCATCTCAGGTCTCCGGTCTAGCCTTGGCCACCTGAAGGCATCCTCCCACCCACGTGAGCTTGGGGGGATCCTGATGGGCCGTGCTTGCTCTGCTCTTCCCCCTCATGCCTCTGCCTGTGCTGGTCCATCCCTGGATGCTCTTTCCCTGCTTGTCCACCTGGGGATTTGGAGCCAGTGATGGAGGCTCACTCACTCCTAGCAGTGTTTCCTGCCCATCACCTCCACTTCTGTCCCCACCATCAGCTGAGCCGGGTGCCCTCCCTCTGTGAACACACCTCCATCAGGGCATAAATCGGACTCATCATGGATTCTCTAGCCTGGCTTCCACGGGACAGTGTTGCCTGTCCTGGTATCTATAGCTCCTCACATGGGGCCTGGCACATAGTAGGGATTCAATGTACCGCCATTTTCCAAAGAGAAGCATGGACGCATCAGACCATGCCTAATCCTGAGCCCCTGAGCGTTCTCGTCACCACTGTGCCAGCTCCACCCAGAGCAGCGTGCCGGTTACAGGGCTTGTGGGATGAGCCCGACCTTGGCTCTGCTGTTAAACTTGCTTGTGACCTTGGCCAACTCACTCTCCTTCTCTGGGCCTTCTCATCTGTAAAACAGGAACAATTATTAATACATCTTGCTGGCAGATAACCTGAGGGCTAAATAGGATACAGAAAGCAAAGACACCCAGAACCTAATGGGTACTTAATAAAATGTTCCTTTTCCTCCCCCTTTCCCTCACCTGCGAACTGGGCTCCCAGGATGGGGATCACTGGGTGACACTGTGAGAAGCCCTTTGCCATGCTCGTCTCTGCAAGTTTATCCTCTTCCCTCACTCCACGAAGGGGGGTCTCGTTGCTCGCTGCAGAAGGCCACAGCGTGCGGCGACAATGCTCCTCTCCTGCTGTTGCAGGGGCTCTGAAGCAGACTTTGGCCACTGACTCTTTGCATGTCACAACCGAGTGCCCTTTCTCCAGCAGCCTCTACGCCAGAGGATGCCATCGCAAAAACCCCATCAAGAATCTGGCCCCTGTTCACTGCCGAGCCCAGAGTCAGTGATTTCCCTGTCTTGGACTCCATCGGAGTTGCCAGTGATTAAGAAACTCATATATTTTCACACTCATTAAAAGAAACATGATGTTCACTTTTCCAAGAAAAGCCATCCTTGTTTGTAGACCCTGTAATATATTGGGAACGCCTCTTAATTGGCTTCTAGGTCTCA